TTATTATTATTATTATTATTATTATTATTATTATTATTATTATTATTGTTGTTGTTGTTATTGTTATTGTTGTTGTTGTTGTTATTGTTGTTATTGTTGTTATTGTTATTATTGTTATTATCCTGCTTTTATTATTATTATTAACCTGCTTTGAGAATGAAACTTAACCTTAACATTATTCACAATCTTTTTTTAAAGATTTTTATCCTGCTTTTTTAAATATAAAACTCAAACCAGCACCTTTTCCCTACTCCTCTTTCTCCACAACAACAATCCTGTGAAGTGGGTTGGGTTGAGAGAGAGAGTGACTAGTGAAGGTCACTCAATTAGGTTTCATGCTTAAGGCAGGATTAAAACTCACATCTCCTAGTTTCTAGGCCAAACATCTTAACCACTACAGCAAATTGGCTCTCATTTCATTATTATAAGCTTCATTATAGATGATTGTAAGCTTTTTATTATTTCATTTGGGTTTAGTCAAATCTCTTTGTTGTTTTTACTGACTTCCTCACATCTAATTCATAAGTAATAATACAGTAGAACCAAACTCCAAAGAAGTATGATGGAGAATACTCAAAAAGATAAATAATGCCCACTTCTCAAAGTTTTCCTTCATGAAATTGAAGGATCACAAAACAAGTAAAATGAAATCTCACCATAATTAATATGGAGATGGTAATATCTTGAAAAAATAGTGAACTATACTTCTGCAGCCAGAGTATCATGTTTACATGAAAATTAAAACTCATTGCTCTTGCCAGCTTCTAATAATACATTTGTTTCAGCAGGTTTTTGAATAAAACTTGAATAAAAATTGCACTTGATTACTAATAGCTAGTAATTTTTGTGTGCTTATTTCTTTGTAAGACCTACGGTATATGGACAACCATCTCAGCATAGTGGCATGCACTTCTTAATAAAAATAGTATATTATGTACCCTGATTCTTACTTTTTTCCCCCCAAAAAGCATAATCCTAAATTTATTTAGCTGTAACAGTGCAGGAAACATATTGGCATGATTTTTTCACATTTTTTTTTAAATTGCAAAGAGTTATAATTTATTTTATGATTCATGCTTTGTATGAGATTTTCTTCATAGTAAGAAATGCCAATGTTGTTAGTTGCTGAACTCCTTACATCTGTTACTGTTCTAAATTTTAGCATTTGATATGGAAGTTGACTAGGAATTCACTGTGAACCTCAAGATGAGAAAGGAAAGCAGTTCCAATTTGTTTCTAGTGAATTTGTTACTCCAGTTGTTTTTCTCAGTGACATTTCCTTGTATTACTTAGAAAAATGACAAATTACATCCTAATATGAAATGTCCAGTTTTTTTGTCAACAATAATTCATGTGTATGTATGTGTGTGTATTTTGACACTCTTGAATGCAGTACATTAGTAAACCCCACACCTTGTGTTTTAAAACAGTGCTTTTAGAAGTTTTCCTTCCACTCCATTTTCATTTGATGAAACATCCTGATATAAAGGTTAAAAGGCTGTGCCTGCGAATGAGGAAAATCCGTAACAACTGAACTTAAATATCACTTCAATTATAACATAACGTGCAGATATCACCGGCTAAATAAGGCTATTAAATTTGCCAATTTGAGCCAAATCATCAGAAATGGCTTTGTAGTGGTCTGTTTACCAGAGAGATATTTCTTCTAAGTAGATTGTACCAAAAGCTTTTGTTGGCAGCTTTTTATGGATTGTCTTGTTCAATGTTTAACTTATTTGTTATCCGTTTTATGGAATCATGGCATTGGAAGATATCTCAGAGATCATCTAATCTAACCCCTTTGATCACTGCTAAAACAATTTCAGACAGATTGTCAGGCCTGTCCCAACTTGGATGTTCAACAAAGACCCTTGATTCACTTTTACTGAGGCCAAGAGGTTACAATGTAGCAAAGATCTGAATATTTCTGCATAAACCCAGCGCTTTTCTCTTCTCACGTGCCCTCCCCGCTTGGTCCTTTTGTAAATGTCCAAGTGTTCAGACTAGGTGTTTCGGTGAACTGTCCTAAAATTTTGTGCCTCTTCGGTGGGCATTCGGATACTTTTCTCACACCTTGGATCTGCCAGGCTCTGATCCAGGCTGGCACCTCTGGTTCCTCTCATCCTGTCATCCTCCCCTCCCTATATCCTCTTATTCGTCCTTCCCCACTTTTATGACAGGGCGAAGCAGGGCTGAAACAATGCGATGGCAGGCCTGACAGAGATAGCAATCCAGTCTTTGCTTAAAGACTTCCATTGAAGGGAAACCTATCACCTCATGACTCAATCTAGTGCTTGACAGCTCTTACCATGAAGTTCCCTCTAATATCTAGACTTAATCTACTTTCCTGTAACTTTAACCCACTGTCTGAGGCATCATAAATCAGCCTGACAACAGTGAACACTGAAGCTGAAATTATTCTAGTATCTTTGTCTAGTATAGAAAAGAGTAGAGCGAATAGTTGCCTTGCCTGTCCTTTGGCAGAAAGTTTAATTCTTCCCTTCCCTTTTCCTTTTCCCTTTTTCAGAAACACACTCAGTGACTTTTAAATTATACACACACCTTTCTATACATGCTGGCATGTGTAGGTGTTGCAGCATGGCATCTTTTAGTTTTTTTCCTCAGCCTGATTTAACAGCGTGTAGGATTACCATCAGTGAATTTAATATGCAAAAATATAAGGAAAACACTAAATTGAAGACACAAGCTTCAAAAAGATTGGTTGAGTCACTTGCAGTGCTTAATTTTGTGGGTATTTTTTTGTCCGTGGTAGAGATGTATCTGAGACTAGCAAATAACACAGGTTGCATGATTTTTTTAATGCCCTCTATTCTCTTCCATAAATATCAGCACAACCGACTTTCTCAAAACCACATTCTCTTAGCCCATCAAGGCTGAACTCCATTCCTTAGGTAGCTGAAATGCTATGGGGAAGGTCAAGAGCAAAAATTCAGAACCCAGTGGTTTTCATTATTCCTTTTCTCTCCAACCATGTGAGATTAAGTGCTATACTTGTATGAAACATCTCAGTAAAGTTCAGAGTTCTGTGACTGAAAGCAAAGTTTCAGTAGTCAATAACGTGCAGACTTTT